TATATATATATATATATAGCTAGCGAGAGAGAGAGAAGAAAATCATTAAATTATTAATGAATATTATTAATATATTAAAATACATATTTATTTGTTTATTTGTAAATGTAAATACACTCGCACACACACACACACACACACACACATTTATAGTGTGTGTGTTATTAAAGTTTCTTTTAAAAATCATCTTATCATGTCAGTATGATCAGTTTTAACAGACTTATCAGTTTTTAAAAAGGGAGATGTTTTATTGTCCGATTAAACACTACAGTAATTCAGCACAAATTCATTCACTTAATATTTCATATAGAGATTTACTGTTGTTTAGTTAAAAACGGGGACATTTTATTGTCGGATTTATTTTATTGTCCGAATAAACTCTATAGTAATTTGGCACAAACTCATCATAGGTAGGTGTTTTATTTTAACATATTAATCACTTTCATATTTGTGACCCTGGAGCACAAAAGCAGTCTTAAGTCGCTGGGGTATATTTGTAGCAATTTATAACAGCTAAGGGGCATTGTTATGCACTTCACGGGGCTTATTGCTCTATTTTATTAATAGCATTCTAATCATATAATCATTAATCACCGTAATCATTAAATAAAATGTATATGTGTTTGTATCAGGGTTATTAAAGTGAACTAAAACTATAAAACACATTTTGGTTACCTGAAATAAAAACAAATGTTAAATGAAAAAATTAAAAGTTATTTTATTCCAGCTAGTTGCCAAAGCAAGTTAATTTAGTTTAACTTGATGTACTTAAATAACTAAAACTATAATAAAAATTAATTTAAAAAATATGAAATATTTAAATATATTGTTATTATTTACTATTAAAGTAACACTTGTGTGTGTGTGTGTGTGTGTGTGTGTGTGTGTGTGTGTGTATTTATAACGTTAAATTGTCCGATTAAACACTACAGTAATTCAGCACAAATTCATTCACTTAATATTTCATATAGAGATTTACTGTTGTTTAGTTAAAAACGGGGACATTTTATTGTCGGATTTATTTTATTGTCCGAATAAACTCTATAGTAATTTGGCACAAACTCATCATAGGTAGGTGTTTTATTTTAACATATTAATCACTTTCATATTTGTGACCCTGGAGCACAAAAGCAGTCTTAAGTCGCTGGGGTATATTTGTAGCAATAGCCAACAATACATTGTATGGGTCAAAATTATACATTTTTCTTTTATGCCAAAAATCATTAGGATATTAAGTAAAGTTCATGTTCCATGAAGATATTTTGTAAATGTCCTACCGTAAATATATCAAAACTTAATTTTTGATTAGTAATATGCATTGCTAAGAACTTCATTTGAACAACTTTAAAGATGATTTTCTCAATATTTAGATTTTTTTGCACCCTCAGATTCCAGATTTTCAAATAGTTGTATCTCGACCAAATATTGTGCTATCCTAACAAACCATACATCAATGGAAAGCTTATTTATTCAGCTGATTTCAGATGATGCATAAATCTCAATTTCCAAAAATTGACCCTTATGACTGGTTTTGTGCTCCAGGGTCACATATA